GACAACAACATGCCTCAGCTTCTCAGAGGATCAGGCATCATCAAGAATTGAATACGAAATAAGATTTTATTTCTCAATAGATGAAAGATTAAATTACTCATTTTTTTCCTATCTTCCAAGGTGTTTTATAAAAATGGCTCTTCTGCATTGAATGAGAAAATTGTTACGGTTTTCTAGAAAAGATAGAAAAGATTCCACCCAGGCAAGACGATTTGAAAACAAAATACGCAGCTGTCTGTAAAAAAATTAAGGTAATACTCATTGAAATACCTACCTAACAAGCCTAAATATGATGGATCTAGAGTGCTGTGTCTGTCTTCAAAATCAAAGAGAAAATCTGGATTTAAAGAAGGAATCACTGAGCAACATTGCATGAACAGAGGGATGCACAATTTTACCAACTTGAGAGCTGGTTCTGGCCTAAAAATGTTGGAAACTATTCAAAAAAATCAAGTGAGAATGAATGAGAGTGTCATGTTAAATGGCTATTTAGGGAAGAGAAGATTTTGCATAGTATTGAAGGTAAAGGACTAAACTTTTCTTGAATATATTGTAAAAGGAGAGGCTGAGAGATCAAGCAGAGAACCCATTTCACTTATGTGAGGTGTAAATTAATTATTCTGGCAAGCTTTCACTATTACAACAAAGAAAGTCAGCATCTCCTAAAGGTGGGAAGATTTGCTGTCTGGATACACCTCTTTCTCTCACAGCCACAGGAGACAGATGAGTGGGATCTCACCTGAAAGGGGATATAATTGATCAGAAAGATGGGATGGAAGGGCTGCCTGAGCGTTTTTGTTTCGTGGAGATTGAGGGGGTGAGTGGAAAATCATCCAGAGTCACAGAGCAGGAAGATTTCGGCTATTGGCATGGAAGATAAAGGGCTTAAATGTTTTGGTTTCCTTTAAAGAAAAATAGCTGCTCTTGGAGGTTGTGAGGTGAAAAAAGTATAGCAAGTTGTATATAGCTCAGTTCAGAGGGAAAATGAAAGAAATAGGCAGAAAATATGATGTTTTGTTCGACAGAAAATAAGGGCAATTGAGAAGGCTTAGAAAGGAGCTGAACATCAGCCCTGCTGTGTTAAAGTTGAATTCAAAATATAGGAAAAGAAAAATTAGAAGAAACTTGTTGAACTGCAGATAGGGCACAAGGAAGGAACATGAAGGAACCGTATGGCTTTGGTTTTTTAACCTCTGGAGATATCCAAGAACAGCACAGATTGCATATAATTCAAAGCAGAGAGGAGTAGCAAGTGAAAAACACAGTCCTAAGTAATCCCCAGAGTTAGGAATTACAACATGAGGTTGTTCATTGTAATGGAAAAGGGAACTGATTGTAGGACAGATGGACTCCACTGTAAGTATGAAAGAACCTGTTAGTAACTACTTCATCTGCTTTTCTTTAGAGTGTCACTTTAGCCAAGGAATTTAGTATTTGGGGTCACAACCGCTAACATCTCATGTGACTCTTGGAGTATTCAGCCCTCCTTTTCCAATGCATTTGAAATGTCAATAGTCACAAGGTACCTACTGATGTCTGCAGCCATAGCTAAGCCGTATTTTCTTTCTTCAGCTATTTCTACAGTTCCTGGCCCCACTCTGGTCATATTCAGATGGCCTCACCTCCCTGTAGGCTCAAGAAGTGATTTATAATGCTATATACATGAAATTTCATATGAGTTTTTACTGCTTGGAAGTCTCTTGGTCTCCCAAGAATGCAGGCACTGAACAGTTTAAGAAGCACCTGACTATTAATGACCACAGACCGATTTACAGTAGTGTGCATCATTATCGTATATAGACACTTACGCAAATAAAATTAATGAATTCATGTTAGTGCAGTCAATATATTTGCCTAATTAACTGCATGTCTTAGTTTCTCTCTTTCCATGGCAATTAATTCGATTGTAAGAGCTTTAGATTCAGCTCCACTTTCAGTGACCAAGTGGCATTTTTCATACTGACCAAAGTATCTTGCATGTCTGTCTCTTTTCTATGTCTTTTTTCCCCATGTCCGAGCATTTATTTTGCAAAAAAGCTGACAAGAAATGGGCATAATGCACATGCAGTAGTATTTCCACATTTTTCAATCAGAATTTTGGAAAAATAGATAAATTTCTTAATTTAGAGAGATGTTAACCACGTGACTAACATGATTGTATTTCAGTCCTCTGCATTAATCCTCAACTACATGTTTTACCTTTTCTCCTGCTGACCTCCCTTAGCTGTACTTTTAGAATAAAAAAATTATATTCCCACTTTGGCCATGGCATCCAAATGTGCACAATGCTCAAATTAGCAACAAAGTAAATACACTGGGCAGTCGCTTACTTTGTATTCCATACTAAAGAAACAAAGAGAGCAATTTACTTCTTTATGTCTGTTTTTCAAACAAAATGTTTGGAAAAAATTTGGATCAAGAATTCTTATTTGAGCGAGTCCAAAAAATTGACGACTTGTGTAATACAAGAGGTTGTATTTCGGATCTACTCAGTGTCAAGATAGGTTTAGACTTCTATTCAGGCATTTTGGTAACTAAAATGTTTAAGATAATACAATAATTGACTAAAATATTTAAATAATATAAAAATAAAATATCTAGGATGTTATCTCAGTAAATTATCAGTGACAGCAATGAATTACTGCTTTGGTAAAGACTCATTAAAGACTGCAGAATGTTATCTAAAACCTTATTCTCTTCAGTTAAGTTACTGAGTGCATTCAGTGAAAATTAAATTTCAAATACATACATTTCTAATTAAATAGAAACTATTTCTGCACATTCCATTTACCAGTGGAAGCACACATCAAACCCTAGAGTTTGTTTGGCCAAAGCCAAATGGAGTCCAAATCTCATGAGATTCCAACACTTTTGGTTTTGGGTTTGTGTCTGATGAAACAAAACAGATTTCCCTCACCACCTTTCATTGTTAGTTCTCATCTATCATTCCCTACAGTCATTGTTACTGCCAGCGGTACAGAGGAGGATCAGCTCCAAGTAGCTATAGATAATTCAGAGTTAGGCAAATAATTTAGACTAATCGTCATGGGACTTCTCCCCCATGGCGTGGAAAGAGATGCCCACCTCCAGAGCTCAATTTCTCATCAACCCCTAAGAGCTCTTTGTCAACAAAATACCCGTCTAGGCAATAAACTGGGTAACAAGCTTGGATTAACCACTTCACTTTAAGTGGCTTACATTGGGTTGAAATTTCCCTGTGGGATCTACTGTTAATTTCATCAGTTCCCTCGACCTTGTGAAGGATGTTATAACTAAAGAATAGTTATTCCTATGTTTTAAAATGTACCTGCTGGTTTTGAAGACAATGAGAAAACAGTAGTAACACAAATTTGACAATGCATTTCGCTAGCCTTCCAGCAATGCAAAAACCTATGTAGTCTGGAAAGGGAACAGCATCGACTGTAGGCTGAGAAATAATCCTCTAACCTCTTTATTCTAATAGATATGAATAGACAGTAGTTTCAGTGTGAAATATCTTTTCAAAGCTTTATATTTCTCATCCAGCGCCCTGAGCTAGCATTGATAATGTCCATGGAAATCTTGTTCAGACTTGTTTAAACTGGGTAACACGATATGTCTACTGAGAAATCCCGCTGAGGCTGACAACATTTGATATATTGAATTGGAGCACCTCTCCTACAAAGATAAGCTGAGACAGTTGGGGCTGTTCAGCCTGGAGGAAAGAAGGCTGCGGGGGGGACCTTATAGCGACCTTCCAGGACCTGAAGGGGAAAGCTGGGGAGGCACTTTTTACAAGGGCAGGTAGCGATAGAACAAGGGGAATGGTTTTAAACTGGAAGAGGGCAGATTTAGGTTGGATCTGAGGAAAAAGCTCTTCCCCAGGAGGTGGTCGATCAGTGGCACAGGTTGCCCAGAGGTGGTGCAGGCCCCATCCCTGGAGATATTCAAGGCCAGGCTTGATGGGGCTGTGAGCAACCTGATCTGGTACCAGTGTCCCTGTCACTGCAGGGCTGGACTGGATGAGTTTTAAAGGTCCCTTCCAACCCAACACATTCTGTGATCCTATGATTCATTCTAAATTGTCTGTTTTCAGAGTATGTATCGCAATATTTCTACCCATCTGGAAGAAGACTTTTAAAAAAGCAGGGTAACTTAATATTGTTGTTCAAATTTAGTTGCTACCATTATGTAGTTAATGATGGACAAATTATTTTATCAATGAAGGATAAGATTCAAATTTCTCGTACCAGTGAGATAAGTCAGAGGGTAAGTTATCTATCCTGAAAAGTTGATAATATGACCTGAGCGTTACGCTTCTGGAGATTTATTAATCTGATATCTATTCAACTGGCAAATTATTGTTTGTGTGATGCCTGCAATAGACACAAAGCAATGAACTGCTCAGGCCCATCACATCATTATAGCTAATGGTAGCTTTCAGCGTGCTGATCCAGCTAGCCCAATATAGCTTTTACAGTTTCAAAGAAACCACAGCCTATTAGTAGTAATTAATTGGCTCTGTAAACACTTCCAAAATGGACTTCTTGAACAGCATGAAGATAAGTGGAAGTTCACTGCCTCATTTGCTCCTCTTCCCCCATAGTTTATACTGAATATTTTTGCATTCCAGTCCTCTCGCAGGACAAATAATTGAAAACATCTTCCCTACATGGGAGCAATTTTCGCTGCTGGAAATGTTAACAAAAAGGAAATATTAAGAAGCCCAGACACCATCACTAGCAGACCTTTGGGAAATTTTGCCTGAGCTGGGTTTAAATGAGGAAATATTTCAGTTCTAGTGAAAAAGACCAGATTACTTGTGCGTGGTAGTTTTTGGCAGGTGTCTGAGCTTCATAAATGCCCTACTTAAAAAAAAATTAAAAAATCAAATTGACATACAATAAGTGTCAATTCTCACATGTACTAGCTCTGACTAAAATTTGCAGCTTAACAAAACCCCTCAAAAGTACAAAACTAGCATTTTAACGGGTCAGCAGGTGACGTTTATACATCCTTACCAGCATGGCCTGTGGCGGAGTCAACCTGAATTTCGGAAGCCGTGTGTTCTGCGTTTCTAGAAGCCGATGGTAGTCTCAGGACAAGCTGATCCATGTCGCTTCCCACCGGCTGCTGCGGATCAGAGCCTGCACAGCTGAGGACCAGGAAAGGTTTGCTCTGCTGCCCCACTACCTTCTTGTGGAAGCTGTGGTACTTTCGATTCTCCTCGCCAAAAAGGGGGCTAAAAGTCTCAAAGGGGCGTCCTTGCTTGTCAGCCATTTTCTCCTGGGGCTTTGAATTCTTTGGAGAAAAAGCACCACTCGCCCTGTTGCTGTAATTGAGCCCATAATCAGACCGAGGACCTTCACTCAGCAGGGTTTTCAACGCTTGCAAACTCCATTTAGAAATGTCTGATGCCCCCATGAAGGACTCTGCAGTTCCCCTTCCGTGGGTGCTCACAGCACTGCCAATGGAGCCCACTTTCGTCATGTGAAACTTGACTTCTTTTTCTTCCACCCCACTCCGTCCTTGGGCACTCTGTGTCTCCTCACTGCCCTCTCCCCTGCGTGCTGCCTCTGCTTTCCCTCTGCTCCTCATAGGCCACACGCCCGAGGCCTGCTCTGGTTTAGCCGGCATATCTATTTCCTCATACATTTTTACTATTATTCTTTTCCCCGTGTCCACATTTTCCTGGATTTCTCGTGTTTCTCCAGCCGTGTTTTCTTTCCCATCACTGCCAGTACGGGAACTGTCACCACCGTCCTTTTGTACTGGAGGCAAGCTGGTCGGGTTTGGAAGAGACTGGTCTGGTGGTGGTTCTGCTGGGCTACCAGCGCTTCCTTGGAGGGGACAAGGACCTGGGGTTTTTGAGGTGCGGGACGGCTCCATCTTCTCATTTTTTGAAGGAGAAACACACTTTGTAGGGCCTTTGAGTCCCTTTTTCTTTCTGAAACCACATATATTGTTGCCATCAACTTCATCACTGTCACTTTCAGATGTGTTCTGTAACCAGCAATAAAATATACAACCAAATAACATGCATGAATTAAACAGACCATGGCAATGGGGTACTATCACCAGCTGCATTTACCTTGTAGCACTTCCATTACTTCTTGCTGATGGAGGTCTCTGTGGACACTTACTGACCCTCAAATTCCGCTACTTTGATTTTTAAAATTCTCACAGAATTCTTTTTCTTATATTTTAGAACAAAATTGGGGAAAATGCCTTCATAATATAGTATTTAGGCAGATTTGGGCGATTAAAATGTGACATTGTACACTGTGTGACATCATTTGTTAAACATGAGCCCTTTAAATGTGAATAGAAATGTGTTTTAATAATTACATTTAAGTATATTCTTGGTCATATTAAAACCATTTTTATTTATAAAGGAAATTGATTGCCCTGAAACACAGAGCAGTGGCAATCCTTATAAGTGCAGGGAGAGAAACCTAAAAACAAACAGCTTTTAAATGAATTTCAGGATCTATTTTGGCCAAATAACTGGCAGGGCTGTGGTCAAAAGGATGAGGCCACATTTGGATGTGTAAGCAGGAAAAAATCAGATAGATACTTACCTTTATAAATAAATAAATATATATATGTATGTATGTATGTGTGTGTGTGTGGGTATATGTATATATAAAATATACATTACCTTTATATATATGATAAGGTTTATATTGCAGTGCTGGGTACCAATTTTAAAATGCATGTAAACAGGCGGAGAAGGCGTAAAAAGGAGCTACAAAAATTAATCTGCTTCCATTATTCAAAGAATATCAAGTAGTCATTGCGTCATTATTCCTCTTAAATAACCTGATCCTACTACAAGCGTGATTAATGGTGTGATTAATCCAAACCAGAGACATTCAAGTTGAAAAACAGCAGAGCTTTTAGGATTGGATTAATTATTTCACAAACTATCATGGTAGGAATTGAATTCTCCATCTCACAACGTCTTAAAAAATATTCAGTAATATGGTTTAACCAAAATATAAGTCACTCCATAAATGGTCACAAACTGGTGTATTTATGAATACCTACTCAAGCATGTTTTTAAGACTCAGTAGCTTAACCAGCAGTCCTTGGTTTGCTTGGTTTGGGTTGGAATGACCACCTGTGAAAATACTGGGAAATCGAGAGATATCCTCTGCATGAGACAGCTCTTTACCTTTTCCACAGAGGAATTATCTGCACTCTCGCCAGTTTCTGAATTTCCGGAAGAAGTAGGGATCTGTGCAAAAGCAAAGTGAATGCAGTCGGGATAAGGCAAAAGAGATTCCTGTTGGCAGACAAAAGCACATAGAAGAGAAGGCAGCCACATCCGATGTGCATATGGGAGAAAACATTTGCATGGCCTCCATTAAGGTCATTAACACCTCCCTTTTCTATATTCTAAAGAGCTGGGGCTCTTTAGTTTGCAGAAGAGGAGACTGAGGGGAGACCTCATTCATGTTTATAAATATTTCAAGGGTGAGTGTCACAAGGATGGAGCCAGGCTCTTCTCGGTGACAAACAATGATAGGACAAGGGGTAATGGGCACAAGCTGGAACACAGGAGGTTCCACTTCAATTGGAGAAGAAACTTCTTCTCAGTGAGGGTGACAGAGCACTGGCCCAGGCTGCCCAGAGAGGTTGTGGAGTCTCCTTCTCTGCAGACATTCAAAACCCGCCTGGACGCCTTCCTGTGCAACCTCATCTGGGTGTTCCTGCTCCGGCAGGGGATTGGACCGGATGAGCTTTTGAGGTCCCTTCCAATCCCTAATGTTCTGTGATTCTGTGATTATTCCTCCCTATTTTTCCTATTTTCTCATTAAGCTATTTTCCACCATTATCTAGTAAATAAAAAGGGTTATGACTTCTCTCCTAAAGCAGATCTTGCAGAAATATTTCTTTCCTCTCTCCCTCTTGCTCTAAATTTCTGTGATGAACAAGATTTACAGCTATTTTGGAAGCTCACCAGGGCATTGCTGCCAGCTTTATGGGCAGGACAAGCCGCCCTGTGCAGTAAGTCCCATGCACGTATGTCAACGGTGATGTTCTTATGATGCCCACTTGCAATCAAACACAGTTACTGGCTCATTCGCAACATAAACCCTTGCTTACGCTACTTTTAGCCCTCAGTTTTTAATGAATATTTATATTCACGTTTTTCAAGGTTGTGCCTGCACCTATGGTAATGGGTTTTTTTGTTTTTCTTCTCTCTGCACAAGAGAAAAGGAGGGGAAGCGAGAGCTTGGGACTCTCTGGCACGGATGACCCAGGAGAGATGATCCAGGTGTGATCCAAGCTGACCAATAAAGGTGGATTTTATCCCATAAATCTCACACTCACTACATTGAAGCTTGCAGAGGACAAACTGCTTCAAAACCCCTTCAACCCTTCAACCTATAACCCCTACAACCCTTTCAGCCTTCAACCCTGCCTCCTTCTTCTTCCATCCCTTCCCTTCATGATGGTGCTGTTTGTGAGCTGAGTATAACTTTGATT